ATTTTTAGGAGGGAAAATGGTTGAAAAATTGTTAGGGGCCCTTAAAATTTTTTTTCTACAAAAAAAAAAGACTCTTTTTTCTTTGCTATATAGGGGGGCCTTTTGGGACCAAGCAAGGGGGGAATAACAGATAGCCCCACCCCGGGGAAATGAAGGGAACAAGGTGGATTGGGGGGTTGGCCCCCGGCAACAATAGGGGGGAGGGGAAGAGAGAAAAAAAAAAGGGGGAGGATATTAAACACTTTCCTTTTTGCAGTTTTAAAGGGCCCCCGGGGCTGCTTTAGAAGAGAGCGAGGGAGAGGGGAAGAGAGAGAGAAAAGAAGAGACAGAGACAAACAAAAGAAAAGAGAGCGAGAGAGAGGGGAGAGCGAGGAGCGGGGAAAAAAGAAAATTTCCACTTCAAAAGGACGGAAAACTACAAAACCTTTTTAAATTTTCCGGAATGGATCTTTTAAGGGGATCACTTACCTGTCCGGGGTCCCTGTCCTGCCCTTCCCGGCCCCATAGACATTTTAAAGGGGCTGTACATATTATTTTATGGGTTTAAATTTTTTCCAAAAATGTGTTTTTGTGCCCCGCAATATCTTTTTCGATAAAAACACGGCTAAAATTGAAAAAACCTGGGGTTTTAATGACAGCGGGTCCCCCCTCCTTTTAAATATCTAAAAATCAAAAATCTCAAAAAGGTCCCGTTTTTGATAAAAACGTTGCCCCTGGTTTTTGAACAAAGGTTGACACGTTTTTCCTGGTGTTAAAAACAAACGGTGTGACCGTTTTTTCCTGATTTTTGAAAAAAACAGGTTTGCCACTTTGTCCGGTTTTAAAAAAAAACAGGGGGTGACACTTTGGGTTCCGGGTGTTGCCAAACGGTTTTGACACGTTGCCCCTGGTGTTGAAAAAACCCGGGTTTTTAACACGGGGGCCTGGTGTTGAAAAACCCGGTGTGCCCTTGTCCTGGTTTTTAAAAAAACAGGTTTACCCGTTGTCCGGGATTTTGGAAACAAAAGGTGTACAGGGTTTTTCCCGATTTTTAACAAAGGTGTTACACTTGGGCCCTGGGTGTTGAACAAAGTGTGCCCTTTTGTCCGGATTTAAACAACAGGTTTGACCTTGTCCTGATTTTTTAACAAACAGGGGACCCCTTTCCTGGTGTTGAACAAAACCAGGTTTTGAAATTTTGGGTCCTAAGAAAAAACCATTTGTGACCTTTGGGGCCCCTTGATGTTGAACAAACGGGTTTGTACCCGGGGGGCCCTGGTGTTTTAAAAACAAACGGTTTTGACCTTGTCCGGGGGTTTAAAAAACTAAACGGGGACCGTTTCCGGGTTTTGAAAAAAACAGGTGTGCCCGGGTTGCCCCTTGGGGTTGAAAAAAAGGGGTGTGAAACTTTGTCCTGGTTTTGACAAACGGGGTTTTGAAAACGTTGTCCCGGGGTTTTGACAAATTTTTGGTGAAAAACGTTGTCCTGATTTTGGGAAAAAAACAGGTTTTTAAAATTTTGTCCTGATGTTGAACAAAGGTGGGGACCGTTGCCCTTTGTGTTGAAAACATTTTGGAAACGTTTTTCCCTTTGTTGAACAAACGGTGTGACACTTTGTCCTTGTTTTTAAAACAAACAGGGGGGAACGTTGCCCTTTGATTTTAACAAACGGGTGTGACAGGGTTTCCTGATTTTGAAAAAAACAGGTGGGGGGACACTTTGTCCCTGGTGTTGAACAAAAAAGGTGTGAAAAACTTTGTCCTGGTTTGCCCAAAACCGGTGTGCCCACTTGTCCTATGTTAAACCCAACAGGGTGCCCAAACGTTGTCCTGATGTTGAACAAACGGTGGGGAACCTTGGAAATTGGTTGGTGAACCAAAAAAGATTAAAAAATCCTGCTTTAAAACCTAGTAAACCATACGCAGAAAAAACCCACCTCATTAAAATAGGTAAAACCCCTACGGAAAATTTTTAAAACTCCTGCATTAAAACTAGTAAACCCATACGGGCCGAATAAACACCCTGCTTTAAAACTAGTGAACCAAAGGGCAATAACATCCTGCTTTTTGAAACTATAAACCCCATACACAATAACCCCCTGCTATTAAACAGTGAACCATACAGCAGTTAAACATCCTGCTATTGAACTAGGGGAACCCTCCCGCAATAAAAAATCCTCCCTATTAAAAACTATTAAACCATACAGCTTAACACCTCTAAAAACCCTAGGGGAACCATACACAATAAACACCCTGCTTTTAGAACTATTAACCCCATAAAAGCAGATAAACATCCTGCTATTAGAAATAAGTCCTGCCTCTAATTCGTAGTTTAGGGACTTTTCCAACGGGTGTGATAGGGACGGGGGGTGATAAAAAATAAAAGGGTTCCCATTTTCAAACTTTAGCTTTTTCCCCGTGCCCGGGTTCCACCCCCACCCTCCTCCTCTCTCTATTTGCCCTCAAGGGGGGGGCCTTCCCCTTTTAAAACCCCTCCCTACATAGCTTTATCAGACCTTTTAAACCCCAAACAAGTATTCATTTATGTGGGGAAAAACCGGGAGCCATTTTTTGACACACCCCTTTTTAAGCCTACAGCTTTTTGTAAAGCGGGCCCAGTAAAATCAAGGGCTACTATCATGCACACCCCACACACCCAACCCGCGCCCACCCGCTTCCCCAAAACCCGGGAATGAACCCCCTCTTTTTAAAGGGACGGCAGGTAGCCTACCGTTAAAAGCGATGGGCCAGTAACTGAAAGGGGTTTGCGGGTTTTTAATCCCGATTTCGACATGTGAAGAAAAAAAAACCTGTTGGGGGTGCCCTTAGAGAAACTAATTGTTTTCCTGTTTTCCCTCTGAAGGAACTTGGGGGCAAATTTTTTTTTTCATTTCAACTGTATGTTTAAAAAAGTGACTAATTCCCTGAGAAAAAACACTGGGAAAAACTGAAAAAAGGGAAAATCCCTAGGGTACCTGTTTTTTTTCTAAAAAGTTCAAACTTTTCCGGGACCCAACCAACTAAGACTGTGGGCCTACAAAAAACCTTTTTTAAAACAAACGGGTTTTCTTTAAAAATAAACGCAATTTTTTCATAACAAAAAAAAATCCAAAAAAAAGCCCCAAAGAAAAAAAAAAAAACATTTCACTTTTCGGTTGGGGTTTTCGGGGGGGGGGGCCTTTTGGGTTTAAAAGTTTTTTTTTTTAAAAGAAGAAAGGGCCCCGGGGAAATTTTTTTTCCTAAAAAATTTTAAAATTTTTTATTTATTTTTTAAAAATTTTAAAAAAATTTGGGAGCCCTTTTTATCGGAGGACTTAAAGAGGAAAAAGGAAAAAATTTTTCATAAAACCCCCAAAAAAAAAAACCACCCGCTTCTCATAAACCACAAAAAAAAAAACCCCCAAAAATTAACCAAAACCAAAGGTCCCTGTTTAAACATAAACAAAAACCGGATAACCAAAACCTCAACCCCTCCCCCAACCAACCCCCACCCTCCGACTCCTTCCAAACCCCCCACCCCTTAAAAAAATTCTAGACCCCACCCCAAAAAAACCCCCCCCGCCCCCCCCTTTTTCCGTACCCTCACCCCAACAAAAAACCACCCTTTAAACCAAACCCCCAACACCCCCCCCAACCCCCCCCCGGGGAAAAAAAACCCAAACACCAAACCCGTTTGGGGGAAAAACCCCCCCCCCCCCTCCTTTAAAATTTAAGACGAAAAGAAGCCCTCGTCCTTCCCAATAAATTCAAAAAACCCTTTGGGATTTTCCTTTAGAATGCCCCTTACTTCATTCTTTAACCAAACCAAAAATTTTTCCCTTTCCCCAAAACCCAAAAATCCGAGTTTTTTCCCCAAACCAAATCCAATTTTTAATTTTTTTCCAAAAACAATCTGAGAGGAAAAAAAACCAAAAAAAAAAACTCCAAAGGGTTTTTCTTTTCATCCACACTCTCCCCTCTGCTCTCCTCCCCTCTTTTCGCCCCTTTTCCCAAAACCCCGTTTGTTAAATGTTTTTACAATTTTTAAACAGGGAGAAAAAGCAGCTTACAAAAATTTGGGGAGAACAGGCGTAGAGCGGACGCAGACCCCCCCACGGGGAAAAATTTAGAAAAAGGGGGCCGGGGCCCCGGTTTCTGTTCCCCGGGCCCCCCGCGGGGCAAGACTTTCCAAAGGACTTCCCAGACTTTCACGGGGCGGGGCCCATGTTACTTCACATTTTAAAGTTTCCCCTTTTTTTAAAACAGGGCGAAAAATTTAAAAGGGGCCTTTTAAAATCCCCCCAAAACCCCCCCTTTCCATCCCTCCATCCATCCCCCCATCCCCCCCAACCCCCCATCCCTCCCTCCCCCTCCACCACTCGGGGGGTTTTGGGGAGGGTTCTCCCCCTTACTTCCCTAAATTCTCTTCCCCCCTCCAGGCCTGCGGGCCTGGGGGGGAAAACAATGGGCCCCTGGGGGCCGGGTTTTAAACCCCGGGGGTTTGGGACATAGATACGGGTGCCCCACAAAAATACCAAAAACAAAAGGGAAAACGGGTTTCAAATATTTGGTTTTTTTTTGGGGGGGGTTTTTGCTGTTTTGGGAAACCCAAAGCCCATTGGGGAGAAGTCAACCTGACATTAAAAGTCAAAACCCATAATTTGTAGTCAAAGGGTTTGTATCCCCCTCTAAATGGTTGGGGTAGCCCTAATATGGTATGTGTCTAATGCCCAAAAAATCATTCTTGATGAAAAAAACGAGTTTAACATTTTTTGAAAGTAATTTATGGGGGAAGGAAGGAAAAAACCTTTCTTAAAACCAACTATGTTAGCCCTGGAAGTGGGAATCCTCACTGATTTCCCCAAGGAATTTTCCTATAATGGGGTTTTTTTTGGCCGAAAAAATGGGGCCAGTCCACCACAAGGGAAATCTTCTTTTGGCCCTTTAAACCAATTTTTTTACCAAAAACATGGGGGGTTGGGAAATGGGGGTTGGGATTTTTTGGGTTTGGGTGGTTGGAAAAGGTTGGGATGGTTTTGGGGTTAGGAATTTTTTAGGTCTCGGTTGGGTTGGGGTTTCCGGGTTCCGGATCGTTTGGGGGGTTCGGCTGGGTTTGGGCCCTTTTTTCGGGTTCGGGCCCCGGTTTTGGGGTTGGTTTGTTTGGGTTCGGCCCGGGCTTGGGTTTCGGTTTGGGGTTCGGGGGGGGGAGGTCCGGTTGGGTTCGGCTGGGGTTTCCGGTTGGGGGGTTCGGTTTTCGGTTGGGGGGCGGGGGGTTGGGTTGGGGTTTCGGGCCGGGGTTTTGGGGTTGGCTGGGTTTTGGGGTTTTCGGCTTTTTTCCGGTTTCGGTTTTTTTGGGGGGTTGGGCTGGGGTTGGGGTTGGTGGTTGGGTTCGGCTGGGTTCGGGTTCGGTTGGGCTTTTTGGGCTCGTTCGTTTTGGGCCTCGGTTGGGCTTGTTTCGGGTTCGGCGGGGTTTCGGGCCGGCGGGGTTTGGGTTTCCGGCTTGGTTGGGCTGGGTTGGGCCCGGGTTTGGGGGTTTCGGCTCGGTTCGGGTTCGGGGGGTTTCGGGCTGGGTTTTTTTCGGCTTGGTCGGCTGGGTTTCCGGGTTGGGCTCTTTTGGGGTTCGGCTCGTTTTGGGGTTCGCTTGGTTCGGTTTCTTGCCCCTGCCCTCCCTGTTCGCCCCCCCCCTTTGGCCGCGCTCCCGCGTGCGTCTTTCGGTCCTCTCTCCCCCCTTTGCCCCCTTTGGGTTGGGTCCCTTTTGCCCCTTTTCTTTTTCCCTTTTTTCCCCGCCTGTCCCTTTGGGGTTTTTTGCCCCTTCCCTTCCCCCCTTTTTTTCCGGTCCCCCCCCCTTGCTTTTAATTCTTTTTGGGAAATACCAGTCAATGGACATACATTTGACTGTCATGCTTATCGATCTACAGGTCTATTTAGTATAATTAAATTGGCCTGTGTGTATTTTGGTTAGTCAATATGTACAGTGGCTTGCGAAAGTATTCACCCCCCTTGGATTTTTTCCTATTTTGTTGCCTTACAACCTGGAATTAAAATTGATTTTTTGGGGGGTTTGTATCATTTGATTTACACAACATGCCTACCACTTTGAAGATGCAAAATATTTTTTATTGTGAAACAAACAAGAAATAAGACAAAAAAAACAGAAAACTTGAGCATGCATAACTATTCACCCCCCCAAAGTCAATACTTTGTAGAGCCACCTTTTGCAGCAATTACAGCTGCAAGTCTCTTGTGGGTATGTCTCTATAAGCTTGGCACATCTAGCCACTGGGATTTTTGCCCATTCTTCAAGGCAAAACTGCTCCAGCTCCTTCAAGTTGGATGGGTTCCGCTGGTGTACAGCAATCTTTAAGTCATACCACATATTCTCAATTGGATTGAGGTCTGGGCTTTGACTAGGCCATTCCAAGACATTTAAATGTTTCCCCTTAAACCACTCAAGTGTTGCTTTAGCAGTATACTTAGGGTCATTGTCCTGCTGGAAGGTGAACCTCCGTCCCAGTCTCAAATCTCTGGAAGACTGAAACAGGTTTCCCCTCAAGAATTTCCCTGTATTTAGCGCCATCCATCATTCCTTCAATTCTGACCAGTTTCCCAGTTCCTGCCGATGAAAAACGTGTTCTCGGGGTGATGAGAGATGTTGGGTTTGCGCCAGACATAGCATTTTCCTTGATGGCCAATAAGCTACATTTTAGTCTCATCTGACCAGAGTACCTTCTTCCATATGTTTGGGGAGTCTCCCACATGCCTTTTGGCGAACACCAAACGTGTTTGCTTATTATTTTTATGTGACACTTAAATAAAGTCTACCTGTGTGCAATCTAACTAATTATGTGACTTCTGAAGGTAATCGGTTGCACCAGATCTTATTTAGGGGCTTCATAGCAAAGGGGGTGAATACATATGCACGCACCACTTTTCCGTTATTTATTTTTTAGAATTTTTTGAAACAAGTTATTTTTTTCATTTCACTTCACCAATTTTGAAGATTTTGTGTATGTCCATTACATGAAATCCAAATAAAAATCCATTTAAATTACAGGTTGTAATGCAACAAAATAGGAAAAATGACAAGGGGGATGAATACTTTTGCAAGGCACTGTATCGTATTTATCCAACAGAACTATCACACGGTACACAGAGCCTATTCTGAGAGGGATTTCTCCTGCTGCTCCAGAGCCTATTCTGAGAGGGATTTCTCCTGCTGCTCCAGAGCCTATTCTGAGAGGGATTTCTCCTGCTGCTCCAGAGCCTATTCTGAGAGGGATTTCTCCTGCTGCTCCAGAGCCTATTCTGAGAGGGATTTCTCCTGCTGCTCCAGAGCCTATTCTGAGAGGGATTTCTCCTGCTGCTCCTCAGCTGGTTGCTGCTCTAGTAAAACATGAGATTTTATAAGACCATTCATTGCGCAAGAATTCTAAATGCGTGTTAAAAACAGTTTTGGTGCAGGATTAAAAAGAGCTACTATTTTTATTTCTCAACTGGTAATTGAAGGACGCCTCCCATTCACCATTCAAATGCAGGCAACAGGCTATCAGCACGTCACCCACCACTTTACAATGTGAGCTGGAGGCAGTATGTATTTTGAAAAACATACTTTTTACATTTGAGTAATTTAGCAAATGCTCTTATCCAGAGCAACTTACAATTAGCATTGTATCATGTACATTTTCCCTCAACAAAGTATTTAGGTAAGGAGGGGCAGTTCCCCTTGCTGCTCCGTAGGCAAACACCAGGGTCTTGAAGGGGATGCGAGGACCTGCGCCGCTTCCTGCGTGAGGAAAGGTCATCCACTCTACGGATGTTGTAGATTATGAACCTGCAGGAGCGAATCACTGCTTTGATGTGTGCAGAGAATGACAGGGTGTTGTCCAGGATCATGCCAAGGTTCTTTGCACTCTTGGAGGGGGACATCGTGGAGTTGTCAACCATGATGGAGAGGTCATGGAGCGGGCAGGCCTTCCCCTAGAGGAAGTTTGTCTCGGTTGAGCTTGAGATGTCTGCCAGGCACTTAGAGAGATGCGTGTCGCCACCTGAGAAGAACAGTCTCGGTTGAGTGACCTGTCTTAGAGAGAGATAGCGAGAGAGTTGGACAGAGGCCGCACGCTCAAGTGTTTTGGAATGAAAACAAAGAAGGGATGCCAGTCTGTAGTTTTTGACGTCAGAGGGGTTAAGTGTTGGTTTCTTGAGGAGGGGAGCAACTCTGGCCATCTTGAAGTCAGAGGGGACACAGCCAGTGGTCAGGGATGAGTTAATGAGGGAATTGAGGAATGGGATAAGGTCTCCAGAGATGGTCTTGAGAAAGGAAGAGGGGATGACTATCTGTCCTCGTGTTCCTAGACTTCTGTCCATCGATCAACACATTCTTTTGGAGAGATTGGAAACCTTAATTGGTCTACACGGACAAGTTCTTGCCTGGTTTAGATCTTATCTGTCGGAAAGATATCAGTTCGTCTCTGTGGATGGTTTGTCCTCAATTGTAAGTTTCGGTTTTCCTCAAGGTTCCGTTTTAGGAACACTATTTTTCACTATGTATTCTACCTCTTGGTGATGTCATTCGGAAAACACAATGTCAACTTTCACTGCTATGCGGACGACACACAGCTGTACATTTCGATGAAACATGGTGAAGCCCCAAAATTGCCTACCCTGGAAGCCTGTGTTTCAGACATAAGGAAGTGGATGCCATCAAATGTTTTACTTTCAAACTCGGACAAAACAGAGATGCTAGTTCTGGGTCCCAAGAAACAGAGAGATCTGCACGTCACTACTTCACAGGAGAGACATTTGAACATTTATTTTTGGGCAGAAATGCCTTCTGGAACATGTGGTCCTCTGTAGCTCAATTGGTAGAGTCATGGCCCTTGTAACGCGAGGGTAGTCGGTTCGATCCCCGGGACCACCCATACGTGTCACTACTTTTATTGATCTCACATTGTTTGTGTATTTTTCATGTAAAACCTTCCTTTATATTCTATGAGTATTCTTTGCCAATATACAGTGCATTCGGAAAGTATTCAGACCCCTTGACGTTTTCCAATTTTTTTTTACGTTACAGCCTTATTCTAAAATTGATTAAATTGTTTTTCCCCCCCTCATCAATCCACACACACAATACCCCATAATGACAAAGCAAAAACTGCTTTTTAGAAATGTTTGCTAATGTTTTAAAAATAAAAACGGAAATAATCAATTTACATAAGTATTCAGACCCTTTACTCAGTACTTTGTTGAAGCACCTTTGGCAGAGTTTACAGCCTTGAGTCTTCTTGGGTATGACACTGTACAGCTATTTTCAGGTCTCTCCAGAGATGTTAGATTGGGTTCAAGTCCGGGCTCTGGCTGGGCCACTCAAGGACATTCAGAGACTTGTCCCGAAGCCACTCCTGCGTTGTCTTGGCTGTGTGCTTAGGGTCGTTGTCCTGTTGGAGGGTGAACCTTCACCCCAGTCTGAGGTCCTGAGTGCTCTGGAGCAGGTTTTCATCAAGGATCTCTCTGTACTTTGCTCCGTTCATCTTTCCCTCGATCCTGACTAGTCTCCCAGTCCCTGCCGCTGAAAAACATCCCCACAGCATGATGCTGCCACCACCATGCTTCACCGTAGGGATGGTGCCAGGTTTCCTCCAGACGTGACGCTTGGCATTCAGGCCTAAGAGTTCAATCTTGGTTTCATCAGACCAGAGAATCTTGTTTCTCGTGGTCTGAGAGTCTTTAGGTGCCTTTTGGCAAACTCCAAGCAGGCTGTCATGTGCCTTTTACTGAGGAATGGCTTCCGTCTGGCCACTCTACCATAAAAGCCTGATTGGTGGAGTGCTGATTGCATGAGGTTATTCTTCTTAACTGACCTGTTGCAACCTCTACAACCACCGTGATTATTATTTGACCCTGCTGGTCATCTATGATCATTTGAACATCTTTGGACACTGTGTTAACAAACCTCCAAACGAGCTTCAATTCCATACAACACTCATTCAGTAGCCTCCAACTGCTCTTAAAACACTAGTAAAACTAAATGCATGCTCTTCAATCGAACGCTGCTGGCACCCGCCCACCCGACTAGAATCACTACTCTCGACGGGTCTGACCTAGAGTATGCGGACAACTACAAATACCTAGGTGTCTGGTTAGACTGTAAACTCTCCTTCCAGACTCACATTAAGAATCTCCAATCCAAAGTTAAATCTAGAATCAGCTTCCTATTTCACAACAAAGCCTCCTTCACTCATGCTGCCAAACATGCCCTCGTAAAACTGACTATCCTACTGATCCTTGACTTCGGCGATGTCATTTACAAAATAGCCTCCAACACTCTACTCAGCAAATTGGATGTAGTCTATCACAGTGCCGTCCGTTTTGTCTCCAAAGCCCCATACACTACTCACCACTGTGACCTGTACGCTCTTGTTGGCTGGTCCTCACTACATGTTCGTCGTCAAACCCACTGGCTCCAGGCCATCTATAAATCACTGCTAGGCAAATCCCTGCCTTATCTTAGCTCATTGGTCACCATAGCAGCACCCACCCGTCGTCTGCGCTCCAGCAGGTATATCTCACTGGTCATCCCCAAAGCCAACACCTCCTTTGGCCGCCATTCCTTCCAGTTCTCTGCTGCCAATGACTGGAATGAATTGCAAAAATCTCTGAAGCTGGAGACACTTATCTCCCTCACTAACTTTAAGCATCAGTTGTCAGAGCACCTTACCGATCACTGCACCTGTATACAGCCCATCTGAAATTAGCCCACCCAACTACCTCATCCCTATATTGTTATTTATTTTGCTCTTTTGCACCCCAGTATCTCTATTTGCACATAATCTCTTGCACATCTAGCATTCCAGTGTTAATACTAATTGTAATTATTTTGCACTATAGCCTATTTATTGCCTTACCTCCATAACTTGCTACATTTGCACACACTGTATATATATTTTCTGTTGTATTTTTTTTGACTTTATGTTTTTTTTACCCCATATGTAACTCTGTGTTGTTGTTGTTTTTATCGCACTGCTTTGCTTTATCTTGGCCAGGTCGCAGTTGTAAATGAGAACTTGTTCTCAACTGGCTTACCTGGTTAAATAAAGGTGAAAAAAAACAACAACTGTATTATAAATATGTATTATTATAATCTCCACCCAGAAGGGGACTGGCCACCCCTCAGAGCCTCGTTCTTCCTAAGGTTTCTTCCTAGGTTCCTGCCTTTCTAGGTTTTTTTTCCTAGACACCGTGCTTCTACATCTGCATTGCTTGCTGTTTGGGGTTTTAGGCTGGGTTTCTGTATAAGCACTTTGTGACATCTGCTGATGTAAAAAAGGGCTTTATAAATACATTTGATTTAATGGGGTCAAGTGGGCAGGTTGTTGGGCGGCCGGACATCACTAGTCGCAGAGAGGAGAGAAAGAGGTCAGGAAGTTTTCTGTGAGTGGGATCTGTGGGCTCAGTAGGCTGAGTGAATGAGGAGCGGATGTCGTCAACCTTTTTTTTCCCAAAGTTGTTGACAAAGTCGTCCGCAGAGAGGGAGGAGGTGAAAGATTGAGGGAGGAGAAGAGTTTCCAGAGGCTTGACATTTAGAGTGATAGAAGGTTATCAGAGGTTATCAGTAGAGAGGAGGGATGATAGGTCCTCCGGAAGTTTAGTTTTCTTCCATTTCGGTTTCATCTGCCCACAGCTCTGTTATGTTACTAAGCCACGGAGTGGGAGGGGAAGGTCGAGCCGGCCCGGGAGGAACGAGGACAATGCGAGTCAAAGGATGTGGAAATGGAGGAGAGTAGGGTTGAAGAGGCATAGTCAGGAGAGAGAAGGATTTATCAGAAGGGAGCGAGAATAAGATAGAAGAGATGGAAGATTCCGGCGGCGTATAACCATCTGGGTCGGGTTGGAGGAGAGATGGAGAGAAAAGGAAACGAAATAGTGATCAGAGACATGGAAGGGGTGGTTGCAGTTAGATTAGTAGGAGAACAGCCTCTAGTAAACATGAGGTCAAGTGTATTGCCTTCCTTGTGAGTGGGAGGGGACTGGGAAAGGTCAAAAGAGGAAAAGAGTGGAAAAAAAGAGGTGGAAATAAATTAATTTCAGTTAGGCGTCGGGAGGTGAGTACGGTGAGTGGCGAGCCATCGTCAGGAAATGAGCTTATGAACTTTTAGAACATTTCTCTTATATCTGACATTTCCAAACACGTCGCAATGATTTTTCTTGCGACATTGCTTTCCTCGAATAAACCTGGGTCAATGGAAACCTGTCTAGTGACAGCATGGAATTCAAATGAGGAGAAAGACAGGTGGGAGAAAAGAGAAGCCCTGTGCCACCACCGTGACGACCAGATGCTCTAGGACAATGGGAGAACACATAGAGAGTAGCTGGAGTAGCAGTGGTCCCTGAGGTGATCCATGTCTCTGTCAGGGCCAAAAAATATGAACTCAGCCTTATTGACCGCAGAGTGCCGAGACTAGGAATTCCATATGAGGGGCACGGTTTACTAAATTAGGAAGGTTGCCATCACAGGTGGGGAGCGTCTGTAAAAACCTACAGGAGCGAACTGGGATGGAAAACAAGCCAAAAGCTAAAATAAAATAACTAGATAAGATACTCAGGTGAGAGAGTGGTGTGGAACCTTCCTCTCTTTCCTTCCTCGAAAAAACTTGGCAGAACAACTCGGCAGAACGTCTTTGATTTACAGACAACAGCGCGCGGGTTGACAATACTGCCGCTTACAGCTGCCGCTGAAACAACTGGGGAGACTGAAGAACTAGCACTAAGACACACCTCCAAGCACTGATTGGTGAAGAAAACACCTCCTACAATACAACACGCCCACAAATGTGCAAGTCCACAACGACAGTCACAAGTACTGAGCAATCAGACCGTTAAAACCACTACTACTTATTGAATCAACTGCCCTACAAGACAATACCAACAGATACTTATTGAATCAACTGCCCTACAAGACAATACCAACAGATACTTATTGAATCAACTGCCCTACAAGACAATACCAACAGATACTTATTGAATCAACTGCCCTACAAGACAATACCAACAGATACTTATTGAATCAACTGCCCTACAAGACAATACCAACAGATACTTATTGAATCAACTGCCCTACAAGACAATACCAACAGATACTTATTGAATCAACTGCCCTACAAGACAATACCAACATATACTTATTTTATCAACTGCCCTACAAGGCAATACCAACAGATACTTATTGAATCAACTGCCCTACAAGACAATACCAACATATACTTATTGAATCAACTGCCCTACAAGACAATACCAACAGATACTTATTGAATCAACTGCCCTTCAAGACAATCCCAACAGCTACTTATTGAATCAACTGCCCTACAAGACAATACCAACAGATACTTATTGAATCAAGAAATATACACTACAGGTCAAAAGTTTTAGAACACCTACTCATTCAAGGGTATTTTCTACATTGTAGAATAATAGTGAAGACATCAAAACTATGAAATAACACGTATGGAATCATGTAGTAACCAACAAAGTGTTAAACAAATCAAAATATATTTTATATTTGAGATTCTACAAATAGCCACCCTTTGAGTTCCCACATATGCTGAGCACTTGTTGGCTGCTTTTCCTTCACTCTGCGGTCCGACTCATCCCAAACCATCTCAATTGGGTTGAGGTCGGGGGATTGTGGAGGCCAGGTCATCTGATAAAGCACTCCATCACTCTCCTTGGTAAAATATACCTTACACAGCCTGGGGGTGTGTTGGGTCATTGTCCTGTTGAAAAACAAATGACAAAGCCCAAACCAGATGGGATGGTGTATCGCTGCAGAATGCTGTGGTAGCCATGCTGGTTAAGTGTGCCTTGAATTCTAAATAAATCACAGACAGTGTCACCAGCAAAGCACCCCCACACCATAACACCTCCTCCTCCATTCTTTACGGTGGGAAATACACATGTGGAGATCATCTGTTCACCCACACTGCGTCTCACAAAGACACAGCGGTTGGAACCAAAAATCTCAAATTTGGATTCATCAGACTAAAGGACAAATTTCCACCGGTCTAATGTCCATTGCTCGTGTTTCTTGGCCCAAGCAAGTCCCTTCTTCTTATTGGTGTCCTTTAGTAGTGGTTTCTTTGCAGCAATTAAACCATGAAGGCCTGATTCACGCAGTCTCCTCTGAACAGTTGATGTTGAGATGTGTCTGTTACTTGAACTCTATGAAGCATTTATTTGGCCTGCAATTTCTGAGACTGGTAACTCTAATGAACTTATCCTCTGCAGCAGAGGTAACTCTGGGTCTTCCATTCCTGTGGCGGTCCTCATGAGAGCCAGTTTCATCACAGCGCTTGATGGTTTTTGCGACTGCACTTAAAGAAACTTTCAAAGTTCTTGAAATCTTCCATATTGACTGACCTTCATGTCTTAAAGTAATGATGGACTGTTGTTTCTCTTTGCTTATTTGCGCTACCATAGTATGGACATCAAATAGGGCTATCTTCTGTATACCCCCCCTACCTTGTCACAACACATCTAACCATACCTAGAGGGTAAGGGGGGAGATTAGACTCAGAGCTGAACTAACCTGGAGGGTAAGGGGGGAGATTAGACTCAGAGCTGAACTAACCTGGAGGGTAAGGGGGAGATTAGATTCAGAGCTGAACTAACCTGGAAGGTAAGGATGGAGATTAGATTCAGAGCTGAACTAACCTGGAGGGTGAGGATGGAGAGAGGGATGGAGAGATCAGCTGAACTAGCCTGCTGTGACACAACCAGTGAGATCAGCTGAACTAGCCTTATCATGCTGGGAGACGGAGGGATGGAAGGAGAGAGAGAGAGAGAGAGAGAGAAAGAGAGAGAGATAGAGAGAGACACACACACACTGGGACTCAGCATGGGGTCTGACAAGAGAGTGAAAGCCAGACAGAGAAAGTCAGAGATGGAAAGAGAGAGAGAGTCAGAGAGAGATGGAAAGAGAGACAGAGAGAGTCAGAGAGAGATGGAAAGAGAGAGAGTCAGTGAGAGATGGAAGAGAGAGAGAGACTCAGAGAGAGATGGAAAGAGAGTCAGAGAGAGATGGAAAGAGAGAGAGAGAAAGAGTCAGAGAGATGGAAAGAGAGAGAGAGAAAGAAAGAGTCAGAGTGAGATGGAAAGAGAGAGAGTCAGTGAGAGATGGAAAGAGAGAGAGTCAGAGAGATGGAAAGAGAGAGAGTCAGAGAGAGATGGAAAGAGAGAGAGAGAGTCAGAGAGATGCAAAGAGAGAGAGAGTCAGAGAGAGATGGAAAGAGAGAGAAAGAGTCAGATAGATGGAAAGAGAGAGAGTAAGAGAGAGATGGAAAGAGAGTAAGAGAGAGATGGAAAGAGAGTCAGAGAGAGATGGAAAGAGAGTCAGAGAGAGATGGAAAGAGAGAGAGAGTCAGAGAGAGATGGAACATAGAGAAAGAGTCAGAGAGGATGCAAGGAGAGAGGAGAGAGTCAGGAGAGTTGGAAAGAGAGAGAGAGAGTCAGAGAGATGGAAAGAGAGAGTCAGAGAGAGAGAGAGAGAGAGAGAGTCAGAGTGAGATGGAAAGAGAGAGAGTCAGCGAGAGATGGAAAGAGAGAGAGAGACTCAGAGAGAGATGGAAAGAGAGAGTCAGAGAGAGATGGAAAGAGAGAGAAAGAGAAAGAGTCAGAGAGAGAGAGAGTCAGAGAGAGATGCAAAGAGAGAGAGAGAGAGTCAGAGAGAGATGCAAAGAGAGAGAGAGTCAGAGAGAGATAGAGAGAGAGAGTCAGAGAGAGACAGGGTGAGATGGAAAGAGAGAGAGAGTCAGAGAGAGCTGGAAAGAGAGAGAGTCAGAGAGAGCTGGAAAGAGAGAAAGTCAGAGAGAGCTGGAAAGAGAGAAATCAGAGAGAGATGGAAAGAGAGAGAAAGAGTCAGATAGATGGAAAGAGAGAGAAAGAGTCAGATAGATGGAAAGAGAGAGAGAGGAGAAAAGAAAGGAGGAGGAAAAAAGAGCGTCAGAGTGAGATGGAGAGAGAGAGAGAGAGAGAGATGGAAAGAGAGACAGAGAGAGTCAGAGAGATATTGGAAAGAGATGAGTCAGAGAGAGCATGGAAAAGAGAGATTCAGATAGAGATGAAAGAGAGAGAGAGTAGAGAGAGAGAGAGTCAATATAATGGAAAGAGAGAGTCAGATAGAGATGAGAAAGAGATCGAGGAGAGAGAGTAGTCAGAGAGAGATTCAAATATAGAGAGAGATAGAAGTCATAGAGATGGAAAGAGTCAGAGAGAGAGTCAGAGAAGAAGGAAGAGAGAAAATAGTCAATGAGAGATAACAAAAGAGAGTAGATAGATCATAATATATGAAGATAGAGATGAGAGAATTGGAGAGATATATATAGTATGAGAGAGATGCAATAAAAGAGTCAAGAGCGAGAGAGAGGAGTCAGAGTGCGAGTCAGATGAGCGAGGAGAGTCAGAGAGAGAGTCAGAAGAGAGGAGAGGGAGAGTCAGAGAAAGATCAGAGAGGAGTCAGAGAGAGAGAGTCAGAGAGAGAGAGTCAGAGGAGAGGAGAGAGAGCGCGAAAGAGCGAGAGATGGTATAAGGGGGGTGGCGTATCCTGGGCGAGAGAAAGAAGACCCGAGAAAGAAGAAGAGATATGAAGAAGAGAGGAGAGAGAGGGGAGAGGAAGAGAGTACAGGAGAGTGAGAGAGACGGGAGTGAGAGAAGATCAGAGAGAGAGAGTCAGCGAGCGAGGGAGAGGTAGAGAGAGGAGAGAGAGCCAGAGAGAAGAGTCAGATGCAGGAGGGAGAGGAGCGGGGGGGGGGGGGGGCTGGAGGAGGAGAGAGAGTGAGAGAGTCAGAGAGAGAGAGTAGAGTAGAGAGAGAGAGACAGAGTTCAGAGAGAGAGAGAGTTCGAGAGAGAGAGAGGTCAGAGGCGAGTCAGAGAGAGAGGAGGTCAGAGGAGAGAGGAGAGATAGAGAAAGTCAGAGAGCAGAGAGGGAGAGAGAGTCAGATAGGAGAAGGAGCGGAGAAAGAGCGAAGATGTATAATGGTGACGGAGTATCCTCGGCATAACAGAGAAAGAGGAGAGGGATAGACTGAGAGAGAGAAGAGGAGAGAGACGCACTGGAGATGCGGTTCGAAGAGAGAGAGGAGAGAGAGAGTCACGAGAGAGAGGGGGAGCGAGGAGAGAGAGACGAAGGGAGAGAGGAGAAGAGGGAAAAAAAAAGGGGGGGGGTAGAGAGAGAGAGAGAGACGAGGGGAGAGGGGAGGCGGAGCGATGAGGGAGAGAGGGAGATAGAGGGAGTGCAGGCGGGGGAGAGGAGAGTCGAGAGAAGAGTCCAGGAGAGAGAGAGAGAGGAGGAGAGGAGAGGAGGGGAGAGAGAGAGAGAGTCAGAGAGAGAGAGAGAGAGTCATAGAGCGAAGAGTCAGAGAGATGAGAGAGAGAGAGAGGTGCTCAGAGGAGAGGAGAGCGATTTAGAGTTGTAGTAGTTAGAGCGAGTCAGAGAGAGACGCGGGAGTCAGAGAGAGAGCGTAGGAGAGGAGAAGTCGGAGAGAGTGAGAACCAGAGAGAGAGCGAGAGAGTCCGAGAGAGAGAGTCCGAGAGAGAGGAGAGGAGAGCGAAGGATAAATAGAGCGCGATTGTCTACGGGGGGAGTAAGAGAGAGAGAGAGGGAGTTAGTCAGAGAGAAGGAGAGACGTCAGAGGAGCAGAGACGAGAGGAGATTGAGAGAGAGAGAGTCAGAGAGTCGAGAGAGATTCAGAAGTTTCAGAGAGAGAGTCAGAGAGGAGAGTCAGGAGTGGACGAAGGATTCGAGTGCGCAGACGAGGAGAAGCAAGTGAGAGAGTCAGAGAGGAGAGAGAGTCAGATAGAGATAGAGTCAGAGAGAGAGAGAGCGAAAGAGCGAGATGTATAAGGGTGGCCAGAGTATCCTGGCCTAACAGAGAAAGAGAGAGAGTGAGAGAGAGTCAGAGAGAGAGAGAGAGAGAGATTCAGAGAAAGAGAGTCAGAGAGAGAGAGAGAGAGCGAAACAGCGAGATGTATACGGGTGGACGGAATATCCTGGCCTAACAGAGAAAGAGTGAGAGAGACGGAGAGAGAGAGGGGGGTGGGGGGGGGGGGGGGGTTGGACCGTGTCGTTACTATCTGTCTCTTAAATCACTGTAGTTAAGCACTGCTGTCCTCCCAGCAGGAAGACTACTCGGAACAGACTGTGAAGAGGAGTTCTGAGCAGAACCAGAACATTTCACACTTTGATTTACTCTGTTATTCCACCTGCAGCCAGTCCAAATACAACACTGGGTCATAGTCTGTTCCTAAATTACATCAAATAATAATAGTACGTTTACTTCACCCCAGGACACTGAAATGTTATATCATAGGTTTTATTGTGCCCCCATATCCACTGACTCTCACCCAGGCTGATGATATTGCCCAAAAAACATGCACCACTGTAGAAGAACTGAGTGCCAGCCTATCAAAATGCTTTAACCTATCTAGTATTTTCAGTGAACAGATCCTAAGGGAGAGGAAAAAAACGAGATGAGGTCATTAAAGAGTATTGGGACATAGCACACCTGTGGATTCACATCATTCCTGAGGCACATATCCCACAGTCCCTTTTTACCAATAAATCATTAGACCTGGACTCTGAACACAATGTGTATCTCCACTTCTCTCTGTCTCCATCTTCTTGTCTATTGTGGAGGATGAATCACAGCAGACCCAGCGCCAGGATAAAGTGACTAAGGGGGGCAGTTGAAATCGGCAAGTGGGCAACATTTTTGGGGGTTCTTGCATTGGAATTAAATAGAATTCTACTTATGTCATGCTATACCACAATAAACATAAAGTTCAAATGCAGAGACTCCAAGATCATTGAGTGCTTTTGAAGTGACAGGTTGGCACGAAATATGTAGACTATCTCCTGTGCGCTGTATCAGCATAAAATAGGGGCCTTCTAGCAGTCACAAGGACAAAGATTCAGCAGGAGGCAGGAAGGTAGAGGTGCAAATGAGTGTTGGATTTATTTACACATCACTGGTGTTTCAAAGATGAAGGTGAAATTTACAAATAGGCTAGGCTATACAAAGTTCTGACTTAAAAATGGCAGCATTCAAAAGAAAAAGCCTCTCATCAGGCAAAACCTGTCTTAACCAATAAAGCACAGGTGGGGTCTACCAGGCTCAGATACAGCCTCCCCTTGAGTTACCCAAAATGTAACTAACTAGAACATCCCCAACCTGTCACGCAATCATTTCAACTGCTATTTTTATATAGAGACATAAAGTTTGAACTGAGGGGCTAAGCCCCCTTTAGCCCCCTCGTGGAACCGGGTACGAATCACATCATCCTACCTCAAAAGGGAAGGTGAGGGTTTCAAAGGCATACTCGCAGGCTATCTCATGTGGAGGAAACGGCTCAGTCCAGCCGTGCTCTGTGCAGTTCCTGTATACTCTGCCTGTGAGAGGAGAGAACACTGGTTTGCTAAAGAATACATATAAATAACATTATTTTACAATCTTGACCATTACCCAACATTGCAACCGCTTTTTCCCGCTGGGATACTGTTTATCCTGTGATAATGCCTAAAGTACACAGGCATTACATAATACCTGACATACAAAACCCATTGACAATCATCAACCTTGAACATGGGTGTGTTCTGATGATGTTCTAATGTGTGTGGGCATACCTGTGGTGCGGAGGAATCTGGGACACGGCTGTGACACAGTCTCTCCCACATCAGCATGAGGCCAGCAGTTCAGGTAGTCCCACAAACCTTGGCACTCTACATGAGACATAATGGGTGTCACCCACAGGAAAGAAGACATGTCAAACCTTTCCCCATCCTTGCCCAACTATACTGGTATTCTATAAGGTTATCTCTTCATTCATTCCACAAGGGAGGCTGAACAATTCCATCACTCTCACAGTATACCACAAATCCTGACACATTTGGCTGCCAGCACAATATGTGTCTTGTTACTGTTATAGGAAGTCCCTTCTAAAATCACCATCCGTTTGTCATTTCACCTTGGCTTGTCTAGGCAGCCCTTAGGCCCAGGTGACATATGGGCTGATGGAACAGTGGAAGAGAGAGAAAAGGACAGGTGCTCTATCTATATCTCTTGGGGCGGCAGGTAGCCTGGCGGGTAGGAGCTGACAAGGTAAAGATCTGTTGTTCTTCCCCTGAGCAAGGCACTGTTCCCCGGGCCCTGTGGATGTCGATTAAGGCAGCCCTCCGCACCTCTCTGATTCAAAGGAGTTGGGTTAAATGCGGAAGATGCATTCAGTTGTATAACTGACTAGGTATCTCCCTTTTCTTGGTCTGTCCACTGTTTTATCTAATTGTTGTCTTCCTAAGGCCAATCAGAGGGCAAATCATACTCTTTCGCCAAATGGAATATCAGAATTGTCAATTGTTTGATAGTGCTAACCACTTTAATCAACCACTTGCATTGTATTTCTCACAGCCTTCTTACCAGCAGGAAACCATGGTAACATGAGGTTTTCAGCACCCTAAATCCAGTAAGTCAATGTGTTATGCTACTAGCCTTAAAGTAAAGGGTAAAAGAACACTGCTTTTCCTCCCATATTAATGACCCCCAGGCTCCCAGCACAGATATGTGTTTTTCAGGGCACAAAGACCACCAGATTCCACATATAGCAAAGGAGAGAACCATTTGGCTGATCTGGATACCAGAGTGGACTCACTGCTGCCTCAAAAGCTCTCCATCACTCTCCATCACTGCTCCCTCTTCATTGGAGGTGATTTGTGGTGTACGGATGCGCTGTTATCTAAGCTGTTTTCCTGGCCCCTCATTGAACTTCTCTTCCTCTGTGTAGATTACATTAATGGCAAAACATGATGCCCACAGAATGACTGACTTGCCTGGTTGTTGAGAGTCAGCCTGGCTGATGTTGATCTTGAGCAGATCCTTGAAGCAGCTCTCCTCATCTTGGAGTAAAATGTAGTCCGGGTCACATTCCAGAGGAATGGCCCTCACCTTCAAACATGATTTTAAGTGGCATCACATTCTGTGCTGTAGTATTTTTCTTTAGATTTAGAAAGGGTATAAACATTTTACATTTACATTTTAGTCATTTAGCAGACGCTCTTATCCAGAGCACTTACAGTTAGTGAGTGCATACATTTTTCATACTATAACCATATGTCTTTATTAAAATGTGTTGCATGCCATTCTCTCGGCCTAAACTAAACTTGTAAAAATAAAAGTAATGATATTTTGCAATTTCAGAGGAATTTATGTTAAGAAAACGACAATTATAGTTTAGGCTACTATCATTTTCCATTTCATGATAATGTTCTATACACACATCCATTATCAAATAATTAGGAGGAATTGGAACACATTTGAATATCACTCACATGGGAAGAGAAGTCGAGAAGAGCTGCTATAAGCACAATCCTGCGCAATTGCCTGTTTATCCTCATTGAAGCTATGGTATTGCCAAGACAAACTGTGAAGAAAAAATAAATGAAAAAAAGATACGGTATCCGCTAGGAGGGACAATTCAGGTGCGTAATTGTAACCTGGACAATAATATATCAATATAAAACTCCAGGAATATTACTTGACCGAAGCAGAGAGTTATTCAGTCCCAAAGTCCTGAAAACAGGTGACAGTGTCTTGTCCTGGTTATCTCAACCCTGATTTACACAAAACTGTAAACTTCAGATGCAGCGTAAAATAGATCATCCCTTTTCTGTAGACCCCGCCTACTGCTCACCGCGCACCGCTGTCACTGTCTGGTCACAATCATTTAGGATACAGGTTTTATCTTACCTGGAAATTGCTTAGTTCTAAATAATTGCATTTCCGAATTGTATAATTCGTTTTATCCTACCAGAGTTGTAGTTTATATAATTTCTAAAGAACTGTTTCTGTCTCTGGCCATATTAATTTAATCTCATGTGAACATTCAAATAAATTCAGAAAGTAAACTCTCAGTTGACTCTCCTCGCCTGTCCACCGCACTTGAACTAGCTCAAACACACCTTATAGTAGCCATACTACACCTCTGAGTGGTGTTTACAAAACACAACAGTGTGGTGTAGGGGTAGTAAAAGTGTCACCTGGTATCACATCTCTGCAGTGTTTAAAGTGACTTTGCTGTTTTACAGGTGTGAGAAGCAGCAAAAGGCTTGCCAGGGAGATAAACAAGCAGGTCAGTGTTATCTAGACTCACTGGGTCAATTAAAATCAAATAGATTTTTTTCTGGCCAAACACTGGGGATGGACAGAAGAAACATGTTTGGTAAAGCTGTGGACAGGTATAAATCAGATCCCTTCAGGGTCTCCCTCGACTCTTAAAGACAGGTTTAGGGTTGTTCTATCTCTGCAGACAATGAACTGAAGGGCTTTGGTTTGATTTATAGATGTAGGATCTTAATTTGAGCCAGTCTGCTACAGCAATAAAATAATCCTGCAGCAACAGGAAATGAGAATTATTATGTGGATTATAATTAATGGATATTTTTGTAGCGGTTGATACATTTTTTGTTAGGGCAAATCAAGTCTGACATTTCAAAGTGGAAATTACAAACTTTAGAAGCCTTTTAAAAACTAAAATGCACTACAAGTTTGCATTTCCTGCAACAAAAGAGTGATCAAATTAAGATCCTACATCTGTAAAAGCTGTTTGGTATGTGTGAGGTGCTGAACCCCTGCCCGCTTCTCCTTCAACCAAATTCAGATAGCTGATGTTCTGAAAAAGCTGCAGCCGTCTTCATCGACCTGGCCAAGGCTTTCGACTCTGTCAATCACTGCATTCTTATCGGCAGACTAAATAGCCTTTGTTTCTCAAATGACTGCCTCGCCTGGTTCACCAACTACTTCTCAGATAGAGTTCAATGTGTCAAATCGGAGGGCCTGTTGTCTGGACCTCTGGCAGTCTCTATGGGGGTGCCACAGGGTTCAATTCTCGGGCCGACTCTATTCTCTGTGTATATCAATTATGTCGCTCTTGCTGCTGGTGACTCTCAGATCCACCTCTACGCAGACGACACCATTTTGTATACATCTGGCCCTTCATTGGACACTGTGTTAACAAACCTCCAATCGAGCTTCAATGCCATACAACACTCCTTCCGTAGCCTCCAACTGCTCTTAAACGCTAGTAAAACTAAATGCATGCTCTTCAATCGAACGCTGCTTGCACCCGCCCGCCCGACTAGAATCACTACTCTCGGCGGGTCTGACTAAGAATATGTGGACAACTACAAATACCTAGGTGTCTGGTTAGACCGTAAACTCTCCTTCCAGACTCACATTAAGCATCTCCAATCCAAAGTTAAATCTAGAATCGGCTTCCTATTTCGCAACAAAGCCTCCTTCACTCATGCTGCCAAACATGCCCTCGTAAAACTGACTATCCTACCGATCCTTGACTTCGGCGATGTCATTTACAAAATAGCCTCCAACACTCTACTCAGCAAATTGGATGTAGTCTATCACAGTGCCATCCGTTTTGTCACCAAAGCCCCATATACTACCCACCTGTACACTCTCGTTGGCTGGCCCTCACTACATATTAGTCGCCAAACCCACTGGCTCCAGGTCATCTATAAATCACTGCTAGGCAAATCCCCGCCTTATCTTAGCTCATTGGTCACCATAGCAACACCCATCCGTAGTATGCGCTACAGCAGGTATATCTTACTGGTCATCCCCAAAGCCAACACCTCCTTTGGCTGCCATTCCTTCCAGTTCTCTGCTGCTAATGACTGGAACGAACTGCAAAAATCTCTGAAGCTGGAGACTCTTATCTCCCTCACTAACTTTAAGCATCAGTTGTCAGAGCAGCTTACCGATCACTGCACCTGTACACAGCCCATCTGTAATTAGCCCACCTTTAATTAGCCCACCCAACTACCTCATCCCCATATTGTTATTTATTTTGCTCATTTGCACCCCAGTATCTCTATTTGCACATCATCTTCTGCACATCTATCACTCCAGTGTTAATACTAAATTGTAATTATTTTGCACTATGGCCTATTTATTGCCTTACATCCATAACTTACTACATTTGCACACACTGTATATAGATTTTCTATTGTGTTATTGACTGTATGTTTTGTTTATCCCATGTGTAACTCTGTGTTGTTGTTGTTTTTATCGCACTGCTTTGCTTTATGTTGGCCAGGTCGCAGTTGTAAATGAGAACTTGTTCTCAACTGGCTTACCTGGTTAAATAAAGGTGAAAAAATAAAAAATAAAAAAGAAGATCAGAATACTGAAATGTTGTGTGGTTTAGAGTTAGAGGAAGAAGAAACATGGGAATATGGACCTCCTTTAAAAAAAACACCAAGACACTTGCCCCTTTCTTCTACAGCCATGTTGTGTACTTTTCCATTGTACGATATATAGATCATTTGCAGATCAGCTTTAAAATCCATCTAAAGAGGGAGAGTACTGCTGGTATGAGGAAGTGGCTGCCTGGGAGTTCTCCACCTCCAAGTGGTGTATAGCCTGAGAGTTAGTATTTGCTCGAAACCACTGAAATTAAATAGGGTCAGATATTTTTTCCAACATTTAATGTTTAATGAACCTGATCCTAGATCTGTGGTTAGGGGCAACAACCTTTAGCGTAGTGTATGAGGAAGTGTCAAAGCCTAATGGTCAGTGTAAACAGAAGACAATTGCACTGTAACCATACCTGCCCGACCAAATGATAAATTACCTGTTTTTACTCACAATGGTCTGAGTCCGTAGCCCACTGGCCATCCGATCACAACATCACTTGATTGTGATCTGTGTGTTGGTTCAGTGTCCGG